ATAAAAACGAGGAGAATATAAAACCGTTAAGAGCTTCCGGTTGTAGGGTTGTACTGATAAAATTGTAACGAAAGCGCTTCAAAATGAAAATAATGCCATGCAATATAGTGGTTAAAGACAGATCCTTTAGATAATAGAGCCAGAAAAACAAAATTCGTTTGAACAATATATTACGATGTGGGAGAGGAGGGATATGCTGGTAGTAGTGTAACCGTGTACCATGAAGCTGAAAGTAATGTTCATTTCCAGGTAATAGTTTTGATGTCTCGTTGATGACGTCGCATTCTACTTTCTAGTTCTTTTCTACCGTTTTTTCTTATTGCTGGCAATGCTGATAAAAGCACTTAACTATAAATTCCTATTTTGAGTACAGAGTAAAAGTAGTGAAACAAAACAAAAAAAAATACTCATCCATAAAACACGAAAATAGGTGAAGGTAATAGAAGAAAGTGGAAAGTAAATTAAGATTGAGGGACCACTTAACAGAATGTGTGTGCATTGTAGAGTGCCACTAACTGTGACAGGCAATAGTAAAAATTGTGGCAATATAGTTGCTAGTAACAAAGTTGGCTTTTCCGTAGGTAGTGGCAAAACTTGAGAGCGCAAAGTGAATAATTTCTCTTTGATTTCCATTTGTCATATCCCAGCGTCAATGAAACATAAGTGTTATAGCATTAAGTGGTTAGGTATATATCTATAGTTGTATTAATGCCTATATGTGTTCTTTAAAATGAACTTGCTATAGCGTAGTGAGGAAATACCATCAGTTGGTCAAGTGAAAACGTAAACCACGAAATATAAACCTAATGAAACATTACCTAAGAGTCTTTTTGGCCCTTTCAAATGAAAGTATATTTTTATAGCAAGTAATTACCAATATTGCTCATTTGTCGGAACCGATATGGGACCACGATAAGGTATACCTGCCATGTGCGGACATTTTTTTTAGTTGACAAGATACCTTCACACAATTCAGAACATATTATTATCAAAGATAGCTTAATCGCCGAAGATATTGTTCAGATCAGAGCCAAGTAGTGCGTAGCTGCCATTCAAAGCGACCGATCAAAATCAAGATAAAGATATCTTTATACCCTTTTATGCTATAAGAAATGGAAATATGAAAAGTCTCATAGCTTCGGTGCAGCTAAAGTTAACGTTTTTTCTTGTTTTTACCTTCAGCTAATCAGTTGACTTTTAGCGTTCGAATTCCATACGAAGAAGCCTATTTATAATTCCCATTGGTTTTAAAATGATTCTGAGGATAGCGAACTCAAAATAAAAGGAACAAAAGCTTGGTATAACCCAAACTGGTAAATTGATTGTATATTTCTTGTATACCACAAAAAAATCAAATTAGAAGGGAAGATCACTTATCATTGATAATTTCATGCAATTGATCCTTGTCGAAAGATAAAGTTTGATGCATATGAGGCAACAGTATTAAACTTTAAGCGGTCGCGTGACGTCGATTCGACCGCGTTCAATACATTTTCGCTGATAATAATTATAGTTCCCATCGCATCATGTCTTAAGTAGTTTGTCTAGGTTTCACCTACCCGAATTTACCCTTACTCCTCGCACCCCCCTTACCACACGGAGCACAATTTATAGAAGCCACAGTACCTTCATTTGCAGTGAATGTTATCTTGGCGAATACACCGATTTTGTATAAAACTAGACCTAAGGTGATCATTTTAATTTTTTGATCTTATGAAGCCAACTGATTTTATAATTTTATTTTCTGTTATTAGTTACTAGATATTTATAGCTAGATTCTAGTACCTATGGTGGTTTTTTGTTCCTAAAACTGCGATTTTAAAATAAAGAGAAGTTAAGTTCTTTTTTTTCATTTGATAACTTAGCTTTTACCTAAGGTTAAGTTTTTTTCGACAAATTAATGTCCTACACAATGAATAATGTTCATAATTATAAAAAAATAAAAAAGCATTGCCTAATTAGTGTTTACTTCCTCTGATATATCCAATTGGTCTTTTAGCTTATGCTTGAAGGTTAAAATGAATAAATTCAAAGAATTTGTGATATGCGAACATTAAAAAACGTACAGTAAATATGCTGCCTCATCTTTGAGGAACCTAGGGATTTTACTTCAAAGAACTGGGTAAAAATTCACAAATTTCATAGAAAATTTTTGAGCTTATTACTTCATTAATTTTCTAAAACATCGCTTATTTTCCTTTGTAGATATAAGTAATATTATCTTACTGACACTATGATTATTTTGGGAACTAAACTTTAATTTCGATTTTTTAATATTTGGTATATCAGCTGAAATATTTATATCACACTATATCTCGTTAAAAGATGAGCGCTGAAGGGAATATTTCTGTCACCATACTTAAACAAACAAATGAAATGAAGTATTAGAATAAATATTATATATGTATGCTACAGTACCTTCACCAAGGTGTACAATGAAAGCAACAAAATATATGGCGAAAGTGGTATGTGGTAAACAGAAAGGTTCGTAGAAGATACGCGTGATTATGTTTAGATTAACTTAATGAACATACAAAGTAGAGAAGGGTGAAGTTAGCAAACAATCATATAGCAGAATAAATTACACGTAAAGAAAAGTGAAGCCAAACGAGCAATAAAAGGACCGAAGTTGGGTTTGCAAGCCAAGCACTTGATGGAGCGCAAGTGCGGCACACAATAGCAGGTATGTACAAGTACATATGTACATTGGTATACATTAAGACCCGCTTAACGCGTAAGATACGCTCGATCAAAGCAGAGCGTAATGCGAAACAGTGCCAAACGAGGCTATCTTAACATGTAAATAATAGGGTAAGGGGAAGACGAATAGAAAATTAGTTAGGTATTAAATTTAATCCTTATGTTAAAAAAAGAATTAAAATAAACAACTATTTTTTACAAAAAAACAATAAATAAATAACAATATAAACGAATATACTTATAAAAACAAATAAAATTCTAAGTCAGTCAGTTGTGTTTCCAGTTTCAACCTTTTTGTCAAGATAGCATTTTACGTAGTTTGTGTTTTCCTGTTTCTTTTTCCCGTTCTGTTCGAAGTTGTTACAAAATGGATAAAGCATCTATAACACCCGTCTTCCTTTTAAAATTGGATTATTGTTAATAAATTGATCAATAATTTAAGTTATAGTGATCAAACTCCTTATTAAAAGCGCCATCGAAGTTCGTTTTGATAAATATAATAATAAATCATATCGTAGTAATGGCGTTTTCAACATAATTCTGGCAATAAAATGTACGCAAAAACGAATCCGCTTGAAATATTCTCAAAAAACGAAATGACTGTTTCATTCCGCAGACCTTATGTTCCTCCAGTCAACTAATTAAGACCTCTATCATGCCATATACATATGTATTCAATTTTTTGGATTTATTCTAAGGGGACAAAGCTCGCTTTCAACAACTACTGTCGAATCGGAAATATAATATTTATTTCTCTAAAAACCTGGGCCAACACAATTAAATTACAATATACAGATCGACAGTACAGCTAACAAAAAAAAAAAAATTCGGTATAAATCTGCCCATTTTTAATTCGGTAAGTAAATTTAAACATCACTCCTTATACTCAAATCTAATGGGGTTATATCGGTTTACGAAATAGTGTTATTCTCAATTTTAGCAATAACTTTTTTAATATGGCAACGTGTTACACAAGTGTATTGCGGTATGGGTTGGTATTACATGCATAATGGACAAAAATAAATGACACAGAAAATAATAGAATAGAAAGATCATTATACCATAAAAATATCTTTGAAACCTTGTGCACTCCTTATAAACTACTTCTGCTACAGTAACCAACCTTAATAAGAAAATTGTAAGTACCCTGAATGAAAAGATCTTTATCTTGACTTTGATCGGTCAGTCACAGTAAAAATGTAAAAATGATGTAAAAACATTCAAACTAAGTTTTTACAGTACATACATATGTTTGAGCAAACAATTTTTATTTCTGTACCAATAACACTAGATTCTACTGATCTTAGGAGTTTCAAAATTTCCAAAACTATGTCGGAAAAGAAATCATTTTTTATGTCATGTCTTGCTACCTATTGCATTTCATATATACATATAATTATATAAACACTTTCTATGAATCGCGATTAAGAAGTCTACTGTGGTGATATATAAAGACCTTTGCTCCAAAATAGTTTCGTATTAATTAACATTAAATAAAATGAATTAATTATAAATTCAGTAAAAATTCGAAAACTTGAAAACTACAATTGCTGGTTCTATATTTTTAAACTCTTCGAGGAATTGAATTCGCACTTAGTTTATAAATTTGTAAGATCCTTGAAGCCCTATTATACTGTATATATAATTATACTGATATATCATAATTTCTACTAATATAATATATAAAGATGAACTATTTTCAACACACCACTAAACGTTTTCTGACGTGCTCCTTGTAAAAGAAAGTTAGTTACTCATGGTAGAAAACCCAACTAATTCGTACAATAACTGTAGTACTGAGTTAAAAAATTGCTTTAAGTTTGCCATTCTCATTTTTTCATAACTTGTCTTGAGGCGCTTAAGCGACTGCCGTTTTCACTCACCCAAACTGTGCTTGCTTGGGCAAGAAGTCCTATTGCACGTACCGCATGTGCAGGTATTTGTCCGCTTCGCTAGACGTAAAATTGGAAGTTGGACGACGAACTGTACCTGAAGCAGCAGCCGAAGCTAAGAAAGGGCATTCATTTGGAGCAAAGGTGTTTGACACTACTGAAAGTGCCGTGAGCGTTTGGCTGATATTTCTTCTGCTCACCAGCTCTATCATTTGCTGCGTTCATTTTCTGTCATCAACAAAGACAGTTTGCTCGCAGAGTTGCTGGGTGGTGCACAGCAGAGGCAGACATAAAAAACTGAAAAGGACTATGAGGTAATCCCTTGGCATGACTATTGCTTTGAGTATGCAACACAGAAAGTCTACCTTTCATTATTATTTTGTTTTTTTGGTTTTATATTCGTTTCACCTGTTTTGTTTGTTCTTTCATCGTTTTGCGAAATAAGTACGTTTTGTTGACACGTCACTCTCGGAATTTTCGATGTCACTTACGCTCTTGTTGCACTGGTAATTTGTTGATAAAAATATGATTCAGCAATTTTACTGTTTCTGTTGCCATTGTTCGCAGTGTTTTAATGTTGCTATTTGACTCTGAATGTAAAAAAAACGAAAGTTGAATGAAAGAAAAGGTCTACCTACTTTATAAAAAAGTCATAACGCTTTCTTTTGAAACGTCAGACGTTACATGCGCAATTGACATGCTGACATTTTACATTTTATTCATCGTCATGCGAGCCTCTTTGCACTGTGAGTGAGTTGTTGGCATGTGTGTATGTGGTGCACGTATACATACCATATATAAACGTAAGTAAATTATCGTAAGCTGTAAATCCACAGAGAGTCTTTGTCGTACTAAGTATGCATCATTGTGATAACGCTTCGCAAGACGGATGGCAATAGCGGAGTGACAGGAAGGAAATACCAAGTGTTTTACCGGTGACAACTTCATTGCAACCACTGATGGTCTGCGCAGGCTTTTCCGCTGGCTCCTCTTACTTTCACATTCTCAAATATATTTGTATGTAACTATTTGTGATTTGCGTGTCACATGCGGTTCCGTCTTTTCTTTTCTGTTTCTCCAGTTTTTTTTGTTCTTTATTCCACTGCCCCATTCAAATGTGTGACTGCTGATGACTGTGTCATTATGCACTTGAAGTCTCGTACACAATGACGCTATTCAACAAATTAAGTACCGCAATTGTTTTATAGTTGTTGTTGTAACTCTTCCTGTCAGATGCGGTGAAAATGGTATACAAGAAACCACCAACTCATTTAAACCAACAGCTAATACATACACACAACCCAATATACATGCAGCGGTTTAAAATTGACTTCACCCACTGAAGCCTATGGGTCTCACTCGGCGGTAGCAGGTGCCCTCCCATATTCAGCGATGCTCGCGTTGGCGTTTATTTAGTTTGGATGTGGTTGCCATTGTTTCGGTTTCTTTACTTTGTCGCTTTTAGTAATGTGTTGCAGTTGTAACCTGGGCTTATGTGGATTTGGTGTCAAACGTGCGGCTCAAAGTAGTCCAGCTCAGAAGTAACAAAGGGAAACATGAAAAATTGACTTCAAGTGTCATGAAATTGTTTAAATTGTGGCACATTTGAGGATATGCCAAGTTTTGCTTCACTTCACCTGCTTCTTCATCACTTGTGCTTCTTTCCAGTCTATAACTTCTCCACTTTGTTTCGCTTCACGTTCCACTTCAAAATGCTCTCCAATCATTGTTTGCCTAAATTATGCAATGACTTTTTGTTATTTCTAAAAGTTATTGATGTTATTTTTTTTCTTTATTTTGTATATTGTGCAGCATTTTTATGTCGTTCAAGTTCTTTCGAATCGCCTTGCTCTTAAAATGAAGTACGTTCACTTGAAGTGACTTAAGAGTTAAATGACAAAATTAGGTTTTTATTGGAAGATCACAATGGGCCTCCTAAAGGCTTAGGTGGGTCGAAAGAGAGCCATTTTACCTATCTACCTATTGGAAGCTGAGAAGAGCGAGTTTCTTATAAATTCTATTTGCATAAAACTCACATATTTTTACTTTAAAGTATTTAAATTTTCTCAAACTAAAGATACGAATTAAATCTGAAGTACTTATAACTATTTTCAAACACAGACTCAAAATTTTGGTTAAACATTAGAGATAGTGAGCGGCGTTACTCTCTTGAACTGAATTATTGGTAAATCATTTGCAAATAAAAATAACCGATGAAATCTAAGTTTTCTTTATTTTTGACTTTTTCATATACATTTTCAATGAAAATTCATATAAGCTGAGAATCGCGACGAATATTTAGAGCAAATATACCTATAATTTAAAGGTGTCGTACTGATTGAATTAGGCTTATTTTATACTGGATATCATTTTGATTTCAATTATATGATCTGCTATTAAAATAATTGAGATTGATTAATAATTTCTCGCGCCTATGACATTGAAAATGGGAACAATAAACCAATTTTCTTCGATTGCTAAATCATACTAATTTACGTGGAAACAAATTTTATTGAAAATTTGCAGCAAACTCGAAGCATCAAAGCAACTTCGTATCGAGTGGGTAGAGTACGTTACCGTCAATCTGAGGGTTATGATCTCAAAGACCTCACGATGCGTCATCTCGCAACAAACGATCTAGAGTATTTGCTAGCATTAATAAATCAATTTTAAAATCCGTTTCCCGTTTGAAGCTTTTATTTGAAGGGTAACCTCGATATTTACATCACAAACACGCTGAAATTTGGTATGCGTTCTGTACATCTTTTATTCGGTATATTATAGTATTTTAGTATACCACGGCGTAATATTTAATAAAATGTGACGAAATTTTATAAAGTCGTCAAAATCTTCAACAAAAAATGATTATTTCATAATTTTCAATTAATATCTTTTTTCTTTGATACTTATATAAATATTGTAACTTTTTATTCTGATTTTTTAATTGAAAATAATTAACACTTAACTGGCCTGCTGCGACGATAGGAACTCTGGTTCCTAGTACAAAAATATTAATTAAATTTACAAGAGCCCGAAACAACAGCAAATGTAATTAAAATATAACTAAAGTATTGTATATAAACCGAGATAATTATTCAAAACGACCAACAGCGATAGCAGTAGCAGCAACAGCAACTACATCGAAAATAAATAATAATTGAATATTCATGAAAATGCAGTAGTTACTACAAAATCACTTCCAGAACTGCTGCGAATACTCTGTATGGCACTATATTGAGTTGTTATACTCAGCGGTGAATACAAATATATATACATAATAGTGGAGAAAGTTATAATAAAAGCAATGTCGACGACAACGTTTACGTGCAGGGAAACAAAGAGCATGAAAACTCAAAAGAATATGCACGAAGAAAAAGTGTAAATATGAAACATTGCATATAAATAATTGCAAGATGGTGTAACGCTTTATTCTGCACTACTGCAAACGTGAACTTTTTCAGTTGAAGAACTAACTGAATTTGCCACTTACAGTAATAGCTAGGGCGGTCGACACTCAAACTCATTCTGAACTGATAAGGTTCAATCGCTTGACATAGTAGCTGCGGTTATGTAAGACAACAGAACTTACCAGACGTATCACTAGTCCACAAACCTACCATGCAACAGATATTGTTAAAGTAAAATATTTGTGGAGCCCAAGTCAAAATGTGATGCAAACATTCGAAGCGAGTCGCAGCAGCGCACAACCTTACATATAAGCATACATGCAAGTGCAAATGGTGAATAAGGGGTTCATTATAAGGCAGCTGCACTTACTCTACCTTAGATAGATTCAGAAAAAACTGCTTTCATAGATTTCTGACTGGTTTGCTCTAAGCTCTCCGTAGTGAAGTGTGTTTGAATAATCACGGAAACAAGTTGGATCATTATTATATTACATTGGCTGCTATCTAAGCATTCTTTACATAATATTACATACGAATTATAATCGTAAACTCATGCTAGAGCGACTAGCAATTTCCAATTTTTTCTTGTGTCAATATATGTTAGAGTCTCGAGACTATCGGCCTAAAATAACGCCCAGATCTATAAACTTTAATTATTACAAATCAGATGAAATTATTGTTTATTACATAAGTATAGGTAAACATTTTGAAAATGACGAAAGCTTAAATGGTTCTTAAATATATAGGTTTTTCGTTGAGTGTGGGAGCTACTGTATATATATGTGCAGACGCACTCAAAATCACATCTAGAAAAATCCCTACTCTTCTTCTCCTTCTCTTCAGTTGTTCATACAATCATATGTCATTTCTATTATTGAGTAACCTATATTTTTGGGCTTTTGGTATTTGAAATATACTGCTTATTTTTGGTACTTCGTTCTCAAGCCGTGTGAATTATGTTTGCCTGAACGGAAAATATTTTTTTTATCTTCATTTTGTTATTGTAAACATTTTTGGGTAGTGACGCATAAAGGAAACCTTAATCATTCCAATTGGCGTGCGGCCCTAACTCTTAGGCGCTCACTGCAACGAAACGATTTGCCTTCAGCACCACGCTGCGACAGCACTGTAAGTTCTGCGGTACCGAAACATAAAAGCTTTTCTTCTAAAAATTAGCATTCTGCATAAGCGCTCGTTTCAATTTCGAACACGATTTAGCACGAGCATACTTTGTAGAACAATACCCACAAGCTCTGCCTAACGCCAGGTGCCGTATATGAGTTCCCTACATGCTGCCTAACTCGTTTGCGGTGTTGGCAGCGTGGCTGTGCTGTCGTAATTTTAACAAAAAACTTAATGCATTCGAAATAGCACAGTTAAGTCTCTGTTGGCTAGGGCGATAGAGGCTGCAGACACCTATGCAAAATGGAATATATAAAAGCCGGTGCTCACGTCTCCATTCCCAAGGTAGAGGCGTAAGTAGGTGAACGAGAGCTCAAAACAAAAAAATACACGCACGTGCCTATATGCTATATTCCTATATGTATGAATATCTGCCACAAGCGTGCACCTAGAATGGCGCAATTGCCTGCTAACGATATAAAATCCAGAAACTGCTCACAGAGTTTGGCGGTAACTGTGTTAGCACGAGCTTGCGTGTAAATATCTGTTTATGAGAGGTTGTGCTTCCTGCAGGGAAGTGGATTCCCCTTCAATAAATTTGAACATATGCAATTGTCGGGAAAAATAGCACAAAGACATTTTTAAAGTAAGAAATAAAAAAGAAAAATGCCGCAAGTGGCAGGTGAGGTGGCGATTGCTCACGTATAGTATATATGCATACATTAGCAACCACAACAATTGCTGCTATCTAAGCGCAACAAAAATGGAGATGCATCAAAGCTTTGGTACATGAGCTGACGTTGTTATCCCAATAAAGTTACTACATTGCCAACAATAATTAGAGTTCTACGAAAGACGAAAGTTAGTAACTGCAATATTTTTGCGTCAGAAATAGTTTGCTTGATTAAAAGTTCTCAACTTGTAAAAATAAAACTTTGATTACAAAACGGAATAGAAGCGAAAACCTAATTGCATAGACGAGGCTTTTCTTTTGAATTTTATTTATTTCTATTGAAAAGCGTTTGAGGTATTTTAAAGCATATTTGGGCATGTTTTATAGCTTGAGGCTACTTTATCTTAGATAGAGGTAAGTTTAGTTTATAAGAAAAATTAATGTTATTTAATAAATACCCGATCGTAGCTTTATTTAAAACAAGGTTAATAATTTCATAACACATTAACTGAGCACACGTACTTCTATGCTTTATCTTATATTAGGTGATCTCGAGACTACATCACGCCGTACCAAAGTCACAATAATGGACAACCGCATATAAGATCGTATACTTTGCTTGATTTTTGTTTTCAATGTCTTATGCTATGACTTTAGTTCTAAGTTAAGAATTTTTAATTCTTTAGTCAAGCTCTTTATAAAATGAGGGATATAATAGTAACCAATGAAACTAAAATAGATGCGCTCAAAGTAAGACCCGAATTTTTTTTGGAGCTTACCCTCACTATTAACTAAGCTTTTTATACTTTTGCAACATGTTGCTACAGAGTTTTGTTCACCAAACGGTTGCATGTATCACCTAAAACTAAAAGGGCGATAAATCAATAAATAAATGCGTCAGATAGATTAAATTTAAATCCGGGATGGCAGAGAAGGGCTTTATGGAAGTCGCTGTCAAAATTGGACAATGGGCGTGGCACCGCCGACATTTATGTGAAATCACATATCTCTGGAGCTACTAAACCAATTTCATCCATATTTGGCAGATAATATTATCCACATTACAGTGCGAAAATTGGGCCTCATTTAATTACAATGTATTAAAGTACTATCACTTATTTTCTCAGGAGGAAACTCGAAAATTATTATATAGGCTTTATTAGGGACAGAGAAAGGGATGGGCTGATTGAGTTAATTTTGACGTTCCTGAAATATACTATATATATATTTGAACGACACTGTTTGATAAAATGACGAAAATCAATATATGTGATATTTGGGAGTTGGGGTAATTCGTAAACCAAATTCACATATTTCCGGCATTAAACTATAGTATATCCAATATTACACGTTGAACTGTAGTATATCCAATAGTATACGTTCAGTTATTTTTACTAAGATATCTTACATATTGACTGATATATGTGGCAGAAGGCCAACCGGAATCTTATATTAGGTATGTGAGAGACAGAGTTAGTATTGACCCGATTTTATCTATTTTTGGCAAAACAATTATACTATTAAGAGCATAAAATGCTCCCAGAATTTCATTAAGGTACCTCACATACCATCACCAATATATGTATATCGAG